GCTCCACCCCACAGGTGCCCCCCTCCGTGCCCATTCCCCCCTCCCCCCCCACATCCATCAGTCCTTAGTTTTTGTCAGCATTCAAGAGTCTCTCATGGTTTGCCTCTCCCCCTTTCCCCCACCATTTCCCCCCTCTTCTCCCCCATGGTCCTCTGTTAAGTTCCTCCTAATCCTCCTATACGTGCAAACATATGATATTTGTCCTTCTCTGCTGAGAGACAGACAATCTCAAGTAGGCTCCACACTTAGCACGGAGCCTCATGCGGGACTCAATCCTGGAATCATGACCTGAGCCAAAATCAAGAGTCACTCTCAACCGACTGAGCCACCCAGCCACCCCTCGTTGTCTGTTTTTTGAATATTAAGTTGTGTACACTCTATATTTTTTAGATATTAACCCGTTATAGGATGTAGGATTTGTAAATATCTTCTCCCATTTAGTAGATTGCTTTTTTATTTTGTTGATGGTTTCCTTGAGCTGTGCAGAAGCTTTTTAGTTTGTCATAATCCCATCTTTTAATTTAGCTGTTATTGCCCTTGCCTGAGGAGAATGGTGCAAAAAAAAATATTGCTAAGACTAATGTCAAAGAGCTTACTACTTATGTTTCTTATGTTTTATGGTTTTGAGTCTTACATTCAACTCTTTAATTCATTTTGACTTGGTTTTTGTATATAGTGTAAGATAGTGGTCCAGTTTCATTCCTCCACACGTAGCTGTCCAGTGCTTTCAACACCATTTACTGAAGAGACTTTTTCACACTGTATAATCTTGCCTCCTTTATCACAGATTGACCATATATGCATGGGTTTATTTCTGGGCTCTCTATTCCATTGATCTAGGAGCCTGTTTTCATGCCAGTACCACTGTTTTCATTAACCCTCTCTTGATTTAAAATCTAGCTTGTCCTCTAATACAGCCTTTTTTTTTTTTTTTTGGTTATTCTTTGAATGGAATTATCTTTTTCTATCCTTTTACTTTCAACCTCATTAGGTTCTTATTCTATAGTAACTCTCTTGTAGGAAGCATATACATAGATCTTGGTTTCTTAATCCAGTCTACTAATCTGTGCCTTTTAATTTGAAGTTTATTCCATATGCATTTAATATGAATACTGAAAGGTAGTGACTTCTACCAGTTAGCTGTTTGTTGTCTGTATCTTTTGTTCCTCCATTCCTGCCTTTTTTAATATTTACTGATTTTTTTTGTAGTGTAACACTTTTATTTTTCTTCTTTTCAGTTTTTTAGTATTAGCATTTACCTTGTGGATTAAAATTAACGTAGTAAACTTGTAAAAATCTACTTAGTTTCAGTAGCATACACTCTATGCTTTCTATACTTTTTAATTCCTCTTTGTGATTTTCACAGATTACATTGTTATACACTATATGATCATGGACATAGATTTATAATTTTCTTGTGTTTGCCTTAAGTCATAGGAAAAGCAGAAGTTATAAACCAATAAGAAGTACAATATTGGCTTTTTAAATGTTTTTTTTCTTTTTCTTTTTTTTTTTTTTTTCCAGGAGAGAGAGAGAGACAGCGTGAACAGGGGAGGGTCAGAGAGAGAGGGAGTCACAGACTGAAACAGGCTCCAGGCTCTGAGCTGGCAGTCAGCACAGAGCCCGACGCGGGGCTCGAACCCACGAACCGCGAGATCATGACCTAAGCGAAAGTCGGACACTTAACCGACTAAGCCACCCAGGCGCCCCAATGTTTTTTTTTTCTTGAGAGAGTATGCACAAGTGGGGGAGGGGCAGAAAGAGGGGGACAGAGGATCTGAAGCAGGCTCCGTACTGACAGCAGAGTCCGATGCAGGGCCCGAACTTACGAACTGTGAGATCATGACCTGAGCAAGGTCGGATACTTAATAACTCACTGACCCACCCAGTTGCCCATAATAGTGCCTTTTATATTTGCCTATGACGTTACCTTTTCTAGTGTTCACTTTTCTTTCTTATGGTTTAGAGCTGCTGTGGTGTCCTTTCATTTCATCCTGAAGCATTTTTTGTAGAGCAGATCTACTGTTGAGCTCTCTCAGGTTGTTTTTTTTTTTTTTTTTTTTTTCTTTTTAACCTGGAAACCTCCTAATTTCTCCCTCATTCTTGAAGGATATTTTGCTGGATATATAAATCTCAGCAAACATTTTCTTCCAAGACCTTAAATATGTCGTCCCACTAACTGGTGGTCTCCATGGTTTCTGATGAGAAAACAGCTCTTAATCTTATTGACGATCCCTTTTAGGTAACAACTTCTCACTGCTTTCAAAATTCTGTGTGTATGGATTTTGAGAATTTTACTAAACAATATGTCTGGGTGTGGATTTTTTGGACTTTATCATGCTTGGAGTTTACATAGCTTCTTGGCTGTATACATTTATGGACTTTTTAAAATAAAATTTGGGGAGTATCTGGACATGACTTCTGAAAGTTTTCTCTCCCCTTTCTTTCTGCAAGTATATGCAAGTATATCTGTTGGTATCCCACAGGTCTCTTAAATTGTGTGCATTTTTTTTTTCCTGCTCCTCAGAGTAGATAATCTCAGTTGAATTATCTGCAAGTTCACTGTCTCTATTTTGCCTACTTAAATATGCTATTAAACCCCCTAACAAATTTTTCACTTCAGTGTTTGTACTTTGCAGCTCCAGAAGTTCTGTATGACTCCTTTTTATAATTTTTCTATCAGTTCAAACATTGTTGACCTGGTTCTTTTAGTTCCAAGTTCATGGTTTCCTTTAGGTCTCTGTATATATTTAAACAGTGCAATATAAAATCTGCAGCACACTCCTGCCATAAATTAAGAGCCTCTCCACCAAATTTTCCACTTCTGACTAGGTTCCAAAGTTCAACAAAAGTTAATTCTGGCAGATTTTAGCAGCTCATTAGTTGCTTTGGGGCAGGCAGAGAGTCATGTATTTCCCTTACTCTGCCATTTTGATGTCATAGTGTTTTTAACTGTATGATCCCATTTATACAAAGTATCCACAACAGTTAAATCCATAGAGACACAAAGCAAGTTAGTGGTTGTATCTGGGGAGGAGCAAATGGGGAGTAATTACTTAATGATTCCTTGGTTGCACAACTTGACTGTACTAAATGCCACTGAATTGTACATTTAAAGAAAGTTTTCTATTTTTTATTTTTAGAATGCGTGTGCAAGTCAGAGAGAGGAGCCAGAGGGAGAGAGAGAAGGTGGGGTGGGGGAAGAATCCCAGGGGCTTCACGCCCAGTATGGAGCCCAACATGAGGCTTGATACCACAACCCTGGGATCATGACCCAAGCTGAAATCAACAGTCAGATGCTCAACCAACTGAGCCACCCAGGCATCCCGGAACATTTTAAAATGGTTAATTTTATGTTATGTCATTGCACATCAATAAAAATTTTAAGTCACTTTCAAGGAGGAGATATGTCTCCAAGGGCACTTTCCACATCCTAGTAATGGCCCAGAAGAATACTTTCAACAAACTGGACCAAGACTACTTACATGGTTCTTAATCATCCTATATACAATCACTGAGTTTCCTTAGAATCTCCCTTACACTTGCTGGTGTCAGTATTCTCATGTGGAATCAAGCTCTATGTGGGCTTAACACATGAAAGCTTCCTCTAGGTCACATGTATCTATGGGCTTTCTCTATTATTTCTGACACTGAACAAATCCAGAGAGTCACACTGACTGTATTTACACGGTTCTTTCCACCCCTGTGTATTTTTACTCGTGGCTTGTCTGTTAATTGTTAAGTTGTAAATTTCTACTAAAGGCTTTGCCACATTCATGACATTTATGGGGTGCTATGGAGTGAAGTATGTCCTTCCAAAATTGATTATGTTGAATCCTTAACCCCTAATGGAAATAGAGTCTCCAAGGAAGTAAGGTTAAATGAAGTTGTAAAAGTAGGACTCTGATACAGTGGGCCGGTACATAAGAGACCACAGCTCCCTATCTCTCTGTCTCTGCCATGTGAGCACACAGCAAGAAGATAGGCATCTACAAGCCAGGAAGAGAGACCTCACCAGGAATCAAATCAGTCGGCACTTCAATCTTAGACTTCCCAGCCTCAAAAACTGTGGGAAATAAATTTGTTATTTAAGCCACCTCGTTTATGACTTCTTATGACAGTCTTCTCAAACTAATACAGATTTTGGTACTGAGAGGAAGGAGCCACTGTTAACAAACACCTAAAACTGTGAAAGCAGCTTTGGAACAGTGTGATAGGTAGAGGCTGGAAGAGTGTTGAGCCACATGGGAGAAGAACATAAGACTGAGATGAAGTGACTGCTAATAGAAATACAGGAGTTAAAGGTAATTGTGCTGAGGGCTCAGAAAGAAGAGAGAAAACTTCTGTCTTTGAGAATATACAAAGAATCATGAAAATAATACTGGCAAAAATTTAGACATTAAAGGCCTTTCTGATGATGTCTGAGATGGAAATGAGATACAGGTTACTGGAAACCAGAGAAAATATGATCTTAGTTATAAAGCGGCAAAGAACTTGACTGAATTTATGTTCTAGTGTTTTTGTAGAAGGCAGAACTTGTGATTAATGAGACTGGATATTTTAGCTACAGAGATTTCAGAGCAAAGTGTTGAAGAAATGGCTTGGTTCCTCCTGACTGCTTATAGTAAAATGTAAGAAACAGAAGATGAGCTGAAGAAAGAATTGTTAAGCAAAAAGGAACCCAAGCTGAAGATGTGGAAAATTCCATTTACTCCACATTGCAAAATGAGGGGGAAAGAGGAGAAGGGGAGAGAAAACTTATTCTGAAAAGAGCACTGAAGGTATGTCTGAAAAATGATTTGGTAAGAGATTAGTGTCAGTGTAAACTATAAATTTAATCAGCGATCCAGAAGCCAGGAATTGAGATGGAATTATACCAGCAGAAACACTGCCAGTTGAGACCAAAGTAAACAGAACAAACAAGATGGAATGAGGAAGACTGCAGACATGCATTATCTTTCAAAAAAGGGGAATTGCTTCTAAAGGCAATTCAGAGGTTTTCAGGGCTGCCAGTTCCACAGCAGGTCCAGGGGCAAGGCTGCCCACCACTCCTCAGTTTTAGCAGGGCCTTCTCAGAGAGCCATAGAAATGGGGTCATCCATCCTACCTAAAGGGACACTCAACCCAGTGAGTCTTGAAGGGTACAGCATCAAACCACAGAGGATTATTCACCAACATTAAGATGTAATAGTTTCCCTTGGTAGGTTTTGGACATGGTGGGACCCTATTTTCTTTCTAATTTCTCCTTTTGGAATGGGAGTATGTATCCTATGCCCATCTATCATTTTATTTTGGAAGTACATAACTTACCTAGTTTCACAAGTTGACAAAAAAAGAGATTTTGCTGTAGGATAAATGATACCTTGATTCATGCCTGATCTATATCTGACTTAAATGACATTTAGATGAAACTTGGGACTTTAAGGTTGATTCTGGGTAAGTTAAGGCTTTGGAGGCTGTTAGGATGAAATGTACTTCTGGGATGCGTGGGTGTCTCAGTAAGTTCAGTGTCCAACTCTTGATTTCAGTTCAGGTCATGATCCCAGGGCTGTGGGATCAAGCCCCACGTCAGGCTCCACGCTGAGCATGAAGCCTGCTTAAGATTATCCCTCTCCTTCCTACCCTCTCAGATAAATTTTTAAAATAATGCAACTTAATGTAAGAAGGACATGAATTTGGCAGCAGGGAAGGTCCAGGGGTGGAATGTTATGGCCTGAATTAAATACTCCAAATTTCATATGCTGAAGTACTGACTCCAGTGTGTTTCTATTTAGAGATGAGGCCTCTAAGTAAGTTTGAAGGTCAAGGGTGGGGCCCTGATCAAACAGAAATGGTACCTTATAAGAGGAAGAGATACCCTAGCTCTCTGTCTCTACCATGTGAGCAAACAGTAAAAAAAGCAGCTATCTACAAGCCAGGAAAAGTCCTCACTAGGAACTAAACTGGCCAACACCTTGAGCTTGAACTTTACAGCTTCCAGAACCCGTGAGAAAAATTTCTGTTGCTTAAGCCACCTACTGTATGGCATTCTTTTATGGCAGCCCTAGCAGACTAATGCGTGGGGTTTCCTTCCAGTGTAAACTTTCTGAAGCTGAATAAAGTTTGCATTTTGACATTAGGCTTTCCCACATTTATCACATCCATAGAGCTTTCCACTAGTATGGATTCTGTGGTGGTGAAGATGGTGAAAGCTCTAGGTGAAGCGTTCCCCAGACACTACATTTTTATGGCTTTTTCCCCATAGAAGTTCTCTGATGCTGGCCAAGTTGTGGAAACCCCTCCCACATTTATCACATCTGTTAGGATTCTCTCTGAAGTATTCTTTGTTTTTGGGCCAGATGTGAGCTACAGAAAAGTACTTCCCACGCTCCGTACACTCATAGGCTTCTCTTAGGAGTCTGAGAACAAGGCACAGCTCTAACTAAAGGCTACCTCACACTTCCAGAATTTCTAGGGTTTCTCTCTCAAGTGGATGCACTGATGCTGAAAGAGATTTAAGCTGGATTTGAATCCTTTCTTTTCCTACATTTGTTACATCCATAGGATTCCTCTCCAGCATGAAATTTCTAATACTGAAGATTAGAATTCTGACTGAAGCTTTTAAACATTTGATACACTTGTAAAATTTCTCTCCAGTATGAATCCTCTGATACTAAGTTTTGAGCTGAATGAAGAATTTACTGTCACACATAAAAGGTTTCTCTCCAGAATAGATTTTCTCATGCTGCCTAAGCTCAAAATGGAGTAGGAAGCTTCTCCCTCAGTGACACATTTGTGGGTTCTTCTTTCTGAAGCCTCACTCTTAGGAAAGTCTGCATTTAGACTGACATTGTTCTCATGCTCATCACCTCCCTGGGCTCTTGCTCACATGGAATTTCTCTTGTGAAATACAGGTGCTTGCCAGGAACACAAGAGTTGGGGAGGGACTTGGAGGAATCTAACCTGAGCCAGTGTCATAAGCTTTATCCAAACCAGGCTCCTGAGGACCATTCAATGCCAAGAAGAAACCATCAGTTGAGATTTCTTCTTTCACAAAACAAGATTGTGTGTCTCCGTCTTTATTGCACAACTGCCTGTTTTGATTTAGATTGTGTACATAAATCCTCTCCTACTTGAACATTCCACAGAAAGAAGTTTGTCCTGAAGTTCTTATTTGCATTAGGCAAAGGACACCTTGCCTTCTAGCCAACGTGTCTCAGAAATGCAGATTCAAAGGGGCTAATCAGCCAAACTGGCAATCTAGTACTGTGGCCACACAGTTATCTCTTTCCACATCTGAGAAAGCAAGCAGGTGTCACTTTCCAACTGCCAACCCCCCCCTTGTCCATCCTCGGTGCTGACCCTTAATAACCTCACCATGAGCCACAGACCACAAGCTTCGACATCAAGAAGCAGAAAGTCAGATGGGAGGGGGAATATGGAAGCCCAATAAAGCAATGGGCTGTCCTCTCTTGATCCCTCCGGGGATACCACATGGTCTCTATGTTGGATGCCAGGGGCGAGGCTAGCACAGAGACCCTATCCCCAGGAGTGGTGGCGGGCCCTGCCAGAGGGCTGCTGGGGCAAAGCCACACGGGCTGGCCTCCCACAAGATTTAATGTCCTATTTCTATCATCATTCTATTTGATATATTCTCTCATATTTCTATCATTCTATTTGAAATATTCTCTTAATTTCTCTTGCAATTTCTCCTTTGAGAATCTCCTTCAGGATGAGTGAAGAATGTGTTGTTCAGTTTCTCAATATTTGAGATTTACTTAGATACCTTATTATTGGTTTCCAGTATAATTCAACTGGAGTCACAGAATACACACTATTTTCAGTAAATCCCTTCAAATTCACTAGGTCTGTCTTGCTGAGCATACCAAATGTACTTGAACAAGTTAAATTTGCAATGACTGAGAAATAGTGGGATGGGATGGTGAAAATCTGAATGTTTTTGCCCTGTAAAGAATCATAGATTTCAATGTAAATGTAAGTGGTTTCTTCAAACTTAAAGATCTGTCACTAGTTTTAATACAATTTCATCATTAAAATCTATCAAAAATGTGACAGACCAAAGATACTAATTTCTAGTGACAGGAAATGTCTTATCAACTGATGAATAAAAAATAAAATGTCATATATCCATATAATAGGATGTTATTTGACCATGAAGAGGAATGAAATATTACTGATTTGGGCTATATAACATGGATGAACCCTGAAAATATTATGCTAAGTGAAAGAAAACAGATACAAAGACTATATATTATATGATTCCATTTATATGAAATAACCAGAATAATCAAATCTATAGAGATAGAAAACAGATTAGCGCTTGCCAGAATTTAGGGAAGGGGAGAAGAGGGAAGGACTCCTAATGGGTGTGAGATATCTTTGGGGGCTATGAAAATATTATGGAATTAGATAGTGGTGAGGGTTGCACTACTGAATCGTACACTTTAAAATGGCAGATTTTATCAGATGGGAATTCTACCTCAATAAAAAACTTTTAAACGTTTAATTCCAATGATAGGTAAAACCCCTAAATAAACTGGGAGTCTTATAAGAATGGTGGCTGTCGGGTACCTGGTGGCTCAGTCAGTTAAGCATCTGACTTCAGCTCAGGTCATGATCTCTGTTTGTCCATGCAGAGCCTTCAGATCCTGTCCCCCTTTCTCTCTGCCCTTACTCCACATGCATACATGTGTGCTGTCAAAAATAAACATTAAAAAAAAAAAAAAAAAGAGTCTGTGCTATAGGTATCACTGTTTGTTGACCAAAGACTCCTTCACACAGCAGACATTCAAAACAATCTTTAAGATTCAGTAAAAGAGTGCTAATTTCTTACTACCTAAGAGCCTTTAGGTCCAGCTCCAATCTATGCCACAATCCTAAAGCATATTCCAGTTTCTTCTATCAGGCCAAACACTTTAGACATGCCTAAATCCATGTGTGTATATAGTCAACAATATGTTCAATTAAAATATAGGTCAGAATATTATATATAATTCAGATCAGCCACATACCAAAGTATCTGGAAATGCAATTTAAAGAATCCTAAAATATGTAATTTCTATGCTTGCTCAAATAACAAACAACTAAACTAAAAACCTTTTGTTCTTTCATTCTTTCAAAATAATTTTGGTCTCTGTATGAAACAAGCCAGTGCCCTGTTCCATTTCAGCCAAGAATCCTTCTCTATTAACATCAAAATTGGTAAAGTGAAATATACAAGTTTTCTCTCTCCAGGAACACTCTGAACTGTATGCACTACATAAACATGTACTCTTAAATGTATAAAAGATTTGACAACAGAGAGAGACACAGCTCTCAATGGTTTTGATAATATCAGTCATTTTAAATTTGTACCTACAGGCAAATGTCCATCATATGAACCCAGAATAAAGATCAAATTGAGATCTTCTGCAAAGAAATTCTATCCTTGATATGACAGGCACTGAAAAACTGAATGACACTATTTTGTATAACTGATATAATCAACAAAAGTATCTCACCTGGTATGTATTTAGGTGTTGGTAAATGTTAACTTTGTCCAATTATGTCAAGTTCACATGCAGCCTAGTCTTAAGGATTAGAAAATCTTTCCTTTAGGACATATATTCACTCAGTTACAGATGACAGTTGAACAAGAGAGCGTTAGGGGTGGCATGCCACCAGAAATATGCATATAACTTTTGACTCCTCAAAAACTTAATAGCCTATGATTAACTAGAAGTCTTACTGATAACATAAACATTTTATATGTTATGTGTACTATATACCATATTCATACAATAAACTGAAGTATTAAGAAATTTGTTTAAAAGAAAAATTTTTTTTTTTTTAAATTTCTGAGAGAGAGCAAGAGACAGCGTGAGCAGGGGAGGGTCTGAGAGAGAGAGGGAGACACAGAATCTGAAGCAGGCTCCAGGCTCTGAGCTAGCTGTCAGCACAGAGCCCGACGTGGGGCTCTAACCCATGAACCGTGAAATCATGACCTGACCGAAGTTGGATGCTTAACTGACTGAGCCACCCAGGCGCCCCTAAAAGAAATTCTTAGAGAAGAGAAAAACTGTCCTGTATTTACTAAAAAAAAAAAAAAAACCACAAGTAAGTGAACCCACATAGTTCAAATCCATGTTGTTCAGAGATCAGCTATACTACTTATTTCCAAATCCTTGATTTGAACATGGCAAAATCCTTCAAAATCCAGCTTGCTCCAAGTTCAAGCCCACACTCCTCAGTCTACCTTTGTAGATTCTGGCCGAATCTGGCTCGGAGCAGGTGAAGGCAAAGCCTTTACAGGCCAGGGAAGTAATGAATGAATGAGGGAGACTCTTCAGCTGTGGGGTCAGGGGACGAAAGGAGGCATGGCTGCACTGTGGAGATACTGTTTGGCTTCAGCTATTTATCATCCACCAAAAGGGTAGACTCTGGAAAGTGGTGAACAATCTATTCTCAAAGAAGTTGACAATCCAGACCTTCAGATATAATCTTCCAATTTTTAGGTGTGGAAAACTCATTTAAATATAAAGCATGGGGCTGGCCAAACTAAATATATACATGAGTCACAAGCAGACATCAGGTCAGCATCCTCACCTCTCTACACAGAGAACTGCTATGACCAAAGGCCCCCTGGCTGCTCCAAGCTTTCCAAATAGTAAGGGACAGCTTGCCAGTCTCTGATATGTACTAGACTTGCTGTCACACTCTCACTGGAAGACTTTACCTTAGTTCTTCAACTTGCCAAGCCCATCAGAGGAAGCTTAGGCAGCTCTGAAAAGAGGTTTCTCCTCAAAGCCTTCCTTCAGTTTTTTTGGCCTTGGGAATCACTGGGCACATAAGCATGAATGTCTTGTATTTGTATTTTAACTGTACTAATTACATTTTACTACTTGGTGAATGCCTGAGTCATAAATGGAGCAGAGTCTGAGAAACGGCTCCAAGTTAAGATGGGCCACACCTCCAAAATCAGGTCTAAATATGACCTAACACCACCAAGGCAGCTCTAGGACGAGGAGAGGCAAGGAGTCCATCCTGCAAGAGCTAGGAAGAAATTTCAGGACTCACCTCATCCCTGGTTGTCAGGAGCCCTGGGGCCATATTCCTGGTCAGCTGAGTGCTCTTTCTAGAGAAGAGTCAAGTTGCAGAGGTAGAGCTGAGGAAAGAGAAGAAAGGTGAGGGGGAGCTTGGGAGGAGTACCCTTCCATTAGCCTCCCGGTTCAGCAGGGGAGATAAGGAAGGCAGGTTGCAGGGGGCATCGGAACAGCAGCCCATTCTTAAACAATGTCCTGTTAAAAAGGCCTGCAGAGCCAGGCCAGCAGCAGGCTCAGCCTCAATCTCCAGTTGGGAATCGAAGCTTCCAGCCCCCTACCACTAGGTGAGACTTTTATCAATGTGGGGACTCTATTAAGCTTTCAGGAAAGGGCCTCAGAGTACCTCCAGGAGAGCGCTCACATCAAGAGCCAAAGTGACCTATTATAGGGAAAATCGAAACTCCCCATCCATATCTGCCATAAAGCTAAAAGACAAGTCCCAGGAAATCCAAACAGAGGGTGCTATATACAGGTCTCCACTCCAATTCAGAATGTAGATTTGGGGGGAATATGAAGCAGGGTGGACATCATCATCTGGCTGCCCACCTCATTTATATATCCAAGATTGAGTTCCCAAGATTTGAAATGTGACTTGAAATTTAAGAGGCAGTGAGCAAATGGCCCAGATCTTCAGCAAACCAGTATCCTGCTTAATGCAAAGATTCTTACAAGATAACCATTCTTCAGATGTCATAATATACTTTGACTACGTTCTATTTTGCACAGATATACTGGAAAGCATTTTGGGGGTTACAAAGGACACTTCAAGATGAACTGGGTATCAGATGGTATTAAAGAACTATTATGAACACTGTTAGCTATGATCATGATCATTCTGCACATGGGGAAATAAATTGTTACTGAATGGTGCTGAATTACTAAAGAGAATTAACATATGTTCAATCTTTTTAAAATGTGAAGCTTTCGGGGCGCCTGGGTGGCTTAGTCGGTTAAGCGTCCGACTTTCGCTTAGGTCATGATCTCGCGGTTCGTGGGTTCGAGTTGACTGCCAGCTCAGAGCCTGGAGCCTGTTTCAGTCTGTGACTCCCTCTCTCTCTGACCCTCCCCTGCTCACGCTGTCTCTCTCTCTCTCCTAGAAATAAATAAAACATTAAAAATAAAATTAAAAAAATAAAATAAAATGTGAAGCTTTCAACAGGTTAACAGCATAAAAAGAAAGAGCTTTTGTGAAAATAAAAGAGGACTTTAGATAGACAGCAACCAAATGCAACATGTGGAAACTGTTTTGGCAGCTTTGAGCAATCCAGGAAATATGAACACCGAAAGTAAGAGAACAGTAAAGAAGTGACATTAATTTTGTCAGGCTCAGGTTAAGAACAGGCTGTGCTGACAGCCTCTGCAGAGAACTGTGGTCATGCTTAAAGAAAGGATGGAAGATCCACCAATCACAGTGCTGCTTAGTGTTGAGAAAACAGATGTCCCTGAAAAAGAGGAACAAGGCAAGGATGCATCCTCTCATCTCTCCTATGAACATCACACTTGAAGTCCTAGCTAACCTAAGAAAAGAAATAACAGGTACACAGATTGGGAAGGAAGAAAAAATACTATCTTTGTCTGCAGATGACCTGATTGACTATATAGAAAATACCAAAAAGTCAAGAAATTTCTGGTACTAAGAAGTGATTATATTGAGGCTTCAGGATACAAGGTTAATATACAAAAATCAATTACTTTCCTATATACCAGCCATGAAAAAATGGAATTTTAAATTAAAAACGCTGTAACACTTATATTAACGCCCAGAAAATATGAAATACTTAGGTATAAATCTAAAACAAATTTGCATAAAATCTATATGAGACAAGCTAAACTTCTGAAAGCAATCAAAGAATATCTAAATAAGAGATATCAGTCAGTTAAGCATCTTACTCTTGATTTCAGCTCAGATCATGATCTCATGCTAGTGGGATCAAGCCCCATGTTGGGCTCTGTGTGACAGCATGGAGCCTGCTTGGGATTCTTTTCCTCTCTCTGCCCCTCTCCCTCTCGTGCACATGCATGCTCTCTCTCAAATAAACAAACATGCACAGCAGGGTACAACAGAACCTATTCTTCATAAGGCCATGACTTTCAAGACTAGGAGTTGTAGCTGACCTTCCTAACACAGAGAAACAAACAGAGACTTACACAAAATGAGGAGACAGAGGAGTATGTCCCAAATGAAAGAAAAGGACAAAATCACAGCAAGAGAGCTAAACAAAAAAAAAATGGTAAGATGCCTGATAGAGAATTTAAAGTAAGGTTTATAAAAATACAAATACTCACTGGACTTGAGAAAAGAGAACTTCAGTGAAACCCTCAACAAAGAGACAGAAAACCAAAAAAAGAAAGAAAAAGAAAAAGAACCAATCAGGGGCACCTGGGTGGCTCAGTCAGTTAAGTGTTGGACTTCGGCTCAGGTCATGATCTTGTCGTCTGGGTTTGAGCCCTGCGTCAGGCTCTGTGCTGACAGCTCAGAGCCTGGAGCCTGTTTCAAATTCCGTGTCTCCCTCTCTCTCTGCCCCTCCCCAGCTCATGCTCTGTCTCTCTCTGTCTCAAAAATAAATAAACATAAAAAAAAAAAAAAAGAACCAATCAGAGATGAAGAACTTAATAAATGAAATTAAAAATATACCAGAGAGAATAAACCCTAGACTAGAGACAGGAGAAGAACACATCAGTGACCTGAGGACAAAAGTAATGGAAAGCAATCAAGCTGAACAGGAAAGAGAAAAAGAATAAATGAAAACAGAAACTCAGAGACACCATCAAGAGTAATATATACATTATAGGGATCCAAAAAGGAAAAAGAGAGATAAGGGAGCAGAAAATTTATTTGAAGAAATAATGACTTGGGCACCTGGGTGGCTCAGTCAGTTAAGCATTAAGACCTGACTTCAGCTCAGGTCATGATCTCATGGTTCATGAGTTCAAGCCCTGCATTGGGCTCTGGGCTGACAGCTCAGAGCCTGGAGTCTGCTTCAGAGTCTGGAGAAGGGAACAGAAATCCAGATCCAAGAGAGACAGAGAGTCTCCCACAAAATAAATCCAAGGACATCCACACCCAAAACACATAGTTATTAAAATGGCAGAAAATATTGATAGGGAATTTTAAAAGCATCAAGAGAAAAAGTTACGCAAAACCCCATAAGGCTGTCAGCTGATTTTTCAACAGAAGCTTTGCAAGCCAGAGGGAGTAGCATGATATATTCAAAGTGCTAAAAGGAAAAAATATGCAACTAAGAATCTGCCAATCCATTCAGAATGAAGTGATAAAGAGTTTCCCAAACAGAAGTTAAAGAAATTCATAACCACTAAACCAGCCCTATATGAAATGTTAAAGGAAACTTCATGAGTGGAAAGAAAAGGCCAAAACCAGGAGTAAGAAAGTAGGAAGCACAAAAGTAGTAAAATTAAGTATATCTATAAAAATCTGTCAAGGGATTCACAAAATAAAAGGATATAAATAAATCATGACACCATATAACTAAAACATGGGAGGGAGAGAAATAAAGAATGGGTTTAATCTCACAGAGCCATCAACTCAATATAAACTGCTATATGCATAAGATGTCATATATAAATCTAATGGTAATGACAAATTAAAAGCCAGTAATAGATACACACAAAAAGAGAGGAAGCAATCCAAGTACATCACTAAAGAAAGCCAGCAAACTATGAGAGAAGAGCCAAAGTGAAAAAAGGAAAAAAAAAAAAAAAAAACTACAGAAACAATCATAAAACAAATATCAAAATGGTAATAAGTACATACCTAACAATAATCACCTTGAATGTAAATGGACTAAATGCTACAATCAAAAGACAAAAGGTGGCAGAATGGATTCAAAAAAAGCAAGATCGATCTCTATGCTGGCCAAAGAAGCCTCATTTTAGACCTAGACACATACAGATTGAAAGTTAAGGGTTGGAAAGGCATTTATCATGCAAGTGGTAGTGATAAAAGAGCCCAGGTAGCAATATTTAAATTGGACAAAACAGACTATAAAGCAAAGACTGTATAAAGACACAAAGAAGGACACTATATAATTATAAAGGGAACAGCCCAACAAAAACTGTATTTGTGCACCTAACATGGAGGCACCCAAATACATAAAGCAACTAATAACAAACATAAAGGAAATGATCAATAGTAACAAAATAGTAGGGAACCTTAACACCCCATTACATCAATGGATATATCATCCAAACAAAATAAACAAAAGAATCAGGGGCTTTGAGTGACACACTGGGCCAGATGAATCTAACAAGTATATTTAGAACATTTCATCCTAAGATAGCAGAATACACATTCTTTCCAAATGCACATGAAGAGTCTCCAGAATAGATCATGTTAGGCCATAAAACAAGTCTCAACAAATTCAAGATCAAAATCATATTATGCCTCTCTTTTGAGCACTACACTATGAAATTCGATATCAGTCATGAGAAAAAAATCTGGAAAGAGCACAAATACATGGAAGTTAAATAACATGCTACTAAACAATGAAAATGGATCAACCAACAATTCAAAGAAATCAAAAAGTACATGGAGACAAATGAAAATGTAACAATCCAAAGTCGTTGAGATGCAACAAAAGCTCTTCCAAGGTAAAAGTAAGTAGCAATACAGGCCTACTTCCAGAAGCAAGAAAACATCAAATAAACAACCTAACTTGACACCTACAGGAGCTAAGAAAGTAACAAAACAAAACCCCAAACCAATAGCAGAAAGAGAATGATAAAATTAGACCAGAAATAAATGAAATAGAAGCTACAAAACCAAACAAACAGAAAAAATAAAATAAAACCAATCAATGAAGCCAGCATCTGGTTCTTTGAAAAAAATTCATAAAATTGATAAAATATAATTACTGATCAAAAGAAAGTTAGACTGACTTAAATAAACAAAACCAGAAATGAAAGAGGAAATAAATGACACCACAGAAACACAAAGGATTAAAAGAGAATATTATGAAAAATTATATGCCAAAAGGACAATCCAGAAAAAAAAATGGATAAATTCCTAGATACATATAGGCTCCCAAAACTGAAGCAGGAAGAG